TATATATATATATATATAGCCTTGAGCCTTTTCACTGTGCATGAAAGATGCATTTTTTTGGATCAAAGCTGAACACTAGATAATGAAGTAAATATTTTTAGTTTACGTTAAGACTTTATAGACTGTGTATATATATATAAACACACACACACACACACACAGTAGTGTTTCCCCAAGGATGGAGTCATAGCAGCGGTGCTAAGGCACGTGGGCCCAGCATAATGTGAGCGTGGAGCGCGTTGAATTTTTTTGTGTTTTTAATATATATCATGATCTTTCCAGCACACTTACTTTGTCATCCTGTATTATGATTTTCCATGACATTTCTGACATACTATACATCTAAAACCCTGTTCATGATATTTTACACATACCATACTTTTTCTATATTATATGAATAGTGTTATGAAAATTAGTATATTTTCTTTTCTCCAGCAGGTAAAAACAATTTGCTTCAAATTATGAGGGGTGATGACATCCTTTAAATATAAAGATATTCACAGACTTTGGACTAACATGGCAATAAATGCTTTATTATGGATTTTAAATAAAATATATTGTTCATTTCAAATTAAATATATTCAAGCACAATAAATATCAATATATAATCATGAACCTGTTTGAAATATACACCTCAGTATAGGTGTTGCTTTTGCTGATTTAAGCGTCACCAAAGTTTTGAGCACACACCACCGTCTCAAAAGTAAATACTTTGAGCCACGTGCAGACAAGCTTACTTTCTAAAACGTCAAAGAGTGCAGTCATCTTTACAACTAAAGAGAGCACAGCCTTAAAGTGGAGCTTAAACCCACCCAAAAACCTGGGTAAACGGGCTGGGTGAACGTAGTCTTGACCTTATGGAGGAGAACCAGTGTATCAGACACATTATAGAAAGACAAAGTCCCGCCCCTGAAGTCCAGAAACACTCCTATCCTGCTGGAGCAGGGGGTGGGGACGCCCACTCTCTCCTTGTTGTGCAGAAAGGAACAGACCGAGTTGGTGCAGTCCAGGCTCCAGGATTTGGAGTTGTGTCCAAGCTTGCAGTCGCTCCCTGCTCCACTCCTGCCCATGTTTTTGTAGCAGACCCCGATGGAAACCCCTCCCTCCCCGGCCCACTCCACCTCCCAGTAGCAGCGCCCAGCCATCCCAGCTCTGCACAGCACCTGGGCCCAGCTGCTGAAGCGCTGCGGGTGGTCCGGGTAGGGCTGGGGCTCCGAGCGCGTGGTCGCCCCTCTGCGACCGTCAGAGAGGCTCAGATAAGGGTTGGCTGTGTTCGGGTCCAGGACGATATCGTGGTGATCTGGAAATCAGTGAATGCACAATGCAAACTTTAAGTCACAGCTTTCATAAAGAGTCACTATCAGAATCAGAAACAGGTTTATTACCAGGTAGGTTTACACGTACGAGGAATTTGACTTGGTGTATACATACAAATAAAACAATTAAAAACACAGGTATAGAAATAGAAAAATATTTAAAATAATTTAAAATATAACAGTGTTTATATTGCAATGGAATAAGAAGGAATACAATTCGACTGTAATAGGGTTTATCAAACAATGGTACTCACAATGTAGAAAATCAGCTCTTGTCTTCGGTTCGGAGTTGTATGGTATCTCCGTGTCTTTTGCTGTTAGACAGATGATGAACATTAAAAACAGATTTGATTCAATGTAATTGAGATTACTTTGATGGTAAGATTAAGCCAAAGTGACTAGTTAGGAGTCTTGCTGACTTTTGTTAGATGTTAAAATACAACTAATTTCAAACAGAAATCTGGTTTAAAGGGATCTTAATTTGCACATGATGGTTGCACACATGGTATCAAGCTCACATAACCCATTCCTTATATTTACAGACCTGTCCTTTCTACAGTTTAGTTTGCTAAAGTATCATTTGACAGAAACTCACCTACCTTTGGTTTTTTCAGATACACTTGTATTGCTGGGTTCCTTCAGTGACATTACTAGAAACGAAGACAAACAGAAATAGTGAGAATTGTTGAACAAATAATCATTTTTATATGAATCAGTTGTAAAAAGGGCACTGCACCTTTATCAGAGATCCTGTTGAATTCTCTTTCAAGTGTTTCATCCAGACTGTCTTTGAGATTGGGCAGGGCTCCCCTCAGGGTTTTATACATCATATATTGAAGAGCATCAGTGCTGGGCATCTCCACAGTCTTTGTAGGGAAATGAAGAGACTTGCACTTCTGCGGTGACAAGCAGCACAACCAAATTACAGGACAGTATCTGAATGCAAATGCAACAACACCGACTAACAGGAAGGAGTGACTTTGTGGGTAACACTCCAATTCAAATCTAGTGAATATTACATTATTGTTTCATTATTTGTATGCGTTTTCATTGAGATGTAAGGGACTTGACCAAAATAAAATTTAAACATTTTAATCACTTCTAACTGAATCATAGTCAAAGTGAGTTTTTCTTTTTATAAACAAGAATTGGGCGGATGATGGGTAAATCCTCCTCTCTGATTTATAACTCTTGCTCTGAAAAGACATGTTCATCTATAATACATTATGAATAATAATAGAATATTATTGTTGTTTTTCATAATAATAATATATTTTATTTATCAAGCGCTTTTACAGCTAATCAAATTAACAACAAATTAAAGTCAAAATATTTTATTGTTGATATTTCATATTCCGTATTTGAAGTCAAAATTACAATTTCTGTCACTGAAATGTGGAGAAGAAGTATATAACTAAAGTAGCAGAATATAGAAATACTTGAGTAACCTCAAAGTACCTTCACTTGAGTAATGCACTTTGCTTCTTTCCACCACTTTGTAAATGTGATAACAACATGGTTGGTGGCCTTGTCACACATAATTGGCCGAGTTATGTTTTGTTTTGTACCTGAAGGAAGCCGGTGTGGTCCTCAGTTTGAGAAATCCTCTCGAGCTCGGCCCCGGCCCTCCGGAGCTCCAGGATCTCTCTCTGTATTTTCTCCAGCAGCTCCTCAGCCTGACTGACAGCTGCTCTCTCCTGGACCATCAGCACCTCCTTCACCTCACTGCTCTGTTTCTCTATGGAGCGGATCAGCCTGGAGAAAACCCTCTCGCTCTCCTCCACCGCTGCCTCTGTGGAGTGCTGTCAGGGTACATACTTTAAGTGTAGGAAGTATGTATGTAACACATTTTAAACTCCTGTATTGGAAATGCACTGACCTTGATATATCTGACAACATATCTGAGCTCCTTCTCCGTGTCTTTCAATTTTTGCACAGACTTCAAAGAGGCTTCTTGGAGTTTTTTCTAAGAGATTAAATATCAGACAGTTCAGTCCCTCAGGCTGCTTCTGCTCACAGTTGATTTTCAAGATGGACATTTTGGATATTACAATCAAAAGGATTAAATTGCGCTGTATGGCCTTTGGTCTAATAACCTCAACTTTTTTACACTATCATCTGAGCACAAGATATGGCTGAAGGACCAGGGCACATTTTACTCCCATGTTTAAAATGTTTAGATTTGTGAAGCCTTCACACCAGCCTATAAGATACTTATGGGACAATGTTTCATAACCCCAAAGATAATCATTATTAGTTACCCTACTTTTTTGGTACAGCATTTTTTTAAGGGTTCTCTGGCTCTTCCAAAGGATTTAGGTCACAATGTCATAACTCAGTAAAATCTGAACACATACAGTATGGTGTAAGATAAAAAATGGGGCTCGAGTTTTAGCCCACAGCTAACTCCCTCCATATTACATTATCAGACTCCTTCTGATCTCTAGCATCAATTCCCACTGGTGGAAGTAGAGTTACTCGTGTGCTGTTCAGCATCATTTTGAGAAACCTGTACTTTATCTGAGAATTTTGAGTATTTTTCTTTTACTCCACTCCTTTATCACAGGTACATATTGTACTTCAACTTCAAACTACATTTATTTTACTAATTTATTTATAACTTAAGATGTACAGATTAATGCATGAATAACTATAATCGAACAATATATTATACGTAATTTCTGCTTTCACATAATGATTTATACACTGTTGTATTTTTTAAAAGTAAAATATCGTAAAACTTGTAATACTACACTGTCAATCCCACATAACCAGCATGCACCTGAGCTAAGTAACCCTGATGGGGCAATAGTGATAATGCGGGTTATTTTCCAAGACTTCACAAAGCTCTTCCGGAACAAAAGAAAACATCACAGATGAAAGAGTACACTTTAAAATCAAATGCATTCTGATAAAGCACGTCTGAATGTTGTTGCAAAAACTAAGAATATGTCATTTATGTCATCTTAAAAGCACAAAATTTGTTTTTGTAATCACGGTGTGAAACATGAAAACTCTCCAAAATAACAATGAGTGATTTAATTTCTGCATTAAGAAATACTGAAAGTGACCTGTTGCGTTGCTCTCTCATCCACCAGTGAGACTGCGTCATGGCCCTTGTGTCTCTCTCTCACACACTGGGAACACACACTCTGCTGGTCGGTGCGACAGTACAGCTTCAGTGGTTTATCGTGATGTTGACACAGCTTCTCCTTCAGCTGGTCCACAGCAGGGACCAACCTGTGGGCCTTCCCATGAAACCTCTCCTCATGGACCCTGGAGTGAGCCGCACAGTAAGACTCGGAGCACACAAGGCAGGATTTAACAGCTCTTTTCCTCCTCACTGTGCACACACTGCATGGCACTTCCTCGGGTTTTGAGGAAAACTGTCGAGCCCCAGATTTGAGAAAAGTTTCCACCACTTCCCCCAGGACTGTGTTCCTGCTCAGCAGCGGTCTGGGGTTGAACACCTGTCGGCACTGAGGGCAGCTATACTGGCCTTTCTGCTTGACCCTGTTCCAGTAGTCCTCGATGCAGTCCAAGCAGTAGCTGTGTCCGCATGGGATAGTCACGGGATCTCTTAAGACCTCCAGGCACACTGAACAACAGAACTGGTCCTGTTCAATAGAAATAGTTGTTGCTGCCATTTCCCAAACACTCCCAGCCGAAACTGAGAGGGACAAAGATGGGCGTGCCTCAAAAGTGTGTGCTGATTACCGCTGGTTGTGTCACCTGCTATACCCGGAAGCAGCCAATCACAGCCAAGGAAGCAGCAAATGGGCTGTCCCATAACGCAACCTGCACAAAACAGCCTTTTATAGAATTGCCTTTCCTTATTGAAAAACACAAGTCACAGATGCACTTGCCTGAATGTTATCTGACATGAACACAAAAGGGCTGCTTGTGTACACTCAACCGGTTATTCTACTTGTACCTCGGAAACCTTGAGCCCGTATTTGTTTAAAGTACAAGGAAACGTCCATGCAAATAAAAAACACCAGTTTGTATAAGAGTGTTGTTGTTTTTTAATGACAGCATTTCACAAAACATAATATATTTATACACGTTTCTGTAAAGCAAAAATAGTGTTTTCACAGTTTTAGTTAAAAAATGAAAAGTTATTATAAAAGCACAACATTATTAAACGATTACAGTTCGGTAAGATTGGTAAACTAATCATTTCAAGGCAATTTCCATTTAAACACTGAAATAAAAAGTCAGTCCTGCTTTGTGTTGCTTAATACTTTAAGCATTATGTATTTGTTCTTCTGTGGATATAAACACTGTCCTCATCTCATTCCTATCGGCAATATACTGAAAGATGTAGAGCTGATAGGTGAAACCACAACAAATTAATTAAAAGTCAAAAGTGAAATTGATTATTAAATGTACAATACAGTACAGATCTGTGATAGCATATCATTAAGGTACAATGAAAATCAGTCCGTGTATCTGCATTTGGAATTTTGGAAAGTCCACTTAAAGTCTATTTCCTCCTGGGGTGGCTTCGTCGCTGAAGGTGTCTCGGTCTGGATCCTGTGGACAGTTTTGAGCCTGAGAAGATACAACAGGAATTATCATTTTGCAGCACCCTGAGGTGACCGAACAATTCAGAAATCACAGCATAAATGTCCCTGGCCTAGATCTGTGCTGTGTAGTAGCAACCAATCATATTTAGATTTATTTTTCAAGCAAGATGCAATGTAATATTTATTTATTTAAATAACCTGAAATGATCAAATGTATAAGTATATAGGTTTTTTTAATATACTTTGCTTAGATTTTTAATTCAAAGATGTAAATATCTACAATTCACCAAATGACCAGGTACATTATGTGGGTACTTTTTACTTTTGATGCTACCTTGCATGTTCTGTTAATAATAATGTAGTTCTACTTAAGTAAAGGAACATATGTTACATTAACTAAATGTGTGTCTTTCTTTCTTTCTGTCACTTACATTAAACATTTGTCATACATTTGGTTTGCTAGTGTAAACTGGGATTTGCACACTGCCTAATGTTGAAATATATTTCATCATTGATATCGGCTGTATTTACCAAATGGTGAGAAGGCAAATGTGGGCGCAGCAGATCCAGGATAGAGGAAAGGGTTCAGATGGTTCAAGGGACTTTGGTCGAGGCCCGGTGTCACTGCGAGCACAAAGAGAAGAAACGCTGTTACTGAGTCGCAGCTGTCAGAACTGTGAGGTTCTGCAGCGCTGTCATCTCTTTTCTTAAGCTGGCTCAGCAAACTCTACTATAAATAAACAAGTCGAGTAAGGGGTTTTTAGAATGGAAAGCACAAGCAAGCAGGAAATATGCAGCTTTCGACAGGTTCAATTCAAGCATATTACTTTAATATACTATTATATTATTATAATACTGCAAAACATAAAGAAAATATGCATTATGAGATAACATTGCAAAAAACAGATATTACATTACAATTTGAAAAGTGCATACATTTATTGGTTATTATATTAGATTATTGTCTGTACTTCACAGCTTCCGTGGGCAGTTTTAACACCTTTAAAACAAATGTAATTGAAAGTGTAAAGACGAGCATAAAGAGTTTCATTGACTCACCTTGTGCTGCTTCCATTTGTACTGCTGGCTCTCCATCACTGGACTGCGTTGTTTCCAGCGGGACAGCAGGATCTTGAGGACTTACGATCACTATCTCTCTCACTACAGAAAAGAGAAAACAATGTAACCAGAGTTGATGGAATCATTTGTGTCAGACAGACCTTTGATAATGACACTTTGTATCTACCTTTCTCGTAGATGCAGACAAATCCTCCCTGGCAGACCTCCTGCAGCAGCCCTTTAAAATCAGACACTGCTGTCATCACAGGGCCGAAGGTGAGGTTGGGGTCAATGGTGACCGAAGGCAAATCTGACAGCACAGGTGGAGCGTGGAGAGACTGACAACTCTGAAACACAAAGACCCACACACAAAGAGTTTGAGTATCCTTGATTATAAACTTAAGTAAAAATAGCAATAACACACTTTTACTTTTGTACTCCAAAGTAAAAGTCCTGCTTTCAAAATTCTTCTTAAGTAAAAGTATTTTTAGCTACAGTATATCAACAGTAAAAGTACTTATTATGCAAAAAATAGTAACTTGATTGTTGTTATAATATATGTTATAGAGTTCTGTAACACACATCTTCTTAAAACAAGTGATCGTTTTTTGTAGTCAAAGTATTTTTGTTTTTAAATCAACTTGTTTAAAAAGGTTTTACAAAAGAGTGCTTGTAACAAGGAAAAGATGAGCAGTTTGCTGCACTAGTATTACTTTTAGAAAATACTTTTAAAAAGTTAATGTGGATACCACATTATTTACTTTTTAAAAAACTAGATAAAAAATGTTTTTGTGCTTGGAAAAAGTAACTTCTGATGATGTTGTAGAATTGAGTTCAACGTTTCCCTCTGAAAGATAGTGAAGTAAAAGTATAGGTACAAGAAAATCAAAAAACTCTAAATATTAATGTTATCACTCTGAGTTTAGTTACCTGAAGGAAATGCACGTGGTCCTCGGAGTGGGAGAGTTTGTCCATTTCAGCCTCGTTCTTCTTCAGCTCAGCGATCTCTTTCTGGATCTTGTCCAGCAGCTGCTCCGCCTGACTGACGGCCGTCTTCTCCTGCGCTTTGATCAGCTCTCTCACCTCGAAACGCTTCAGCTCCATGGATCGGATCAGTTCAGTGAAGACAGCGTCACTCTCCTCAGCTGCTGCTCGAGCAGAGCGCTGGAGGGGAAACACAAGGACACATGTAGAAGTCATCGTCTAAAATGTCAAATGATGACCTCTTTACATCATTCAGAGGCAAGACATGCGACGTGCTGTATTAACATGTCAGAAGAAACTTACATTGAGAGAGAAAATGGCTTGTCTGATCTCCTGGACTCCCCTTTCCCTTTGAAGGATTTTCAGCTGAGAGCTCTGCTTCATGTCACCAAGCTCCCTCTGAGGAAAGATATTATGGAAAAGAGTTTGTTTAATATAGGATTTGATTAACATGTTTAAGATGTGTGGAACAGGGTTACAAATTGAAAATCAAAGAGGGTGGTTTCATAGTTTCCGCTCAATCGGGTCACATTATACAAAATCTGAAATAACAACGTTTTTTTGCAATTTGTTAAGACAGAAGTTAAGGGTTATTTTCATGCTTTAACAGACTATCAAACCAGATTTAAGAAAAGGAAAAACAGGCCCTTTCACTGCTTTTTATTAATCCCCACCACCTAAGAACAGATAGAAAAAACAACTGAACACATAACAAAATGTTTTAAAATGAAATGAACATAACAAATCGTTTTTAAGAGTTGAGGCTATAACATTTCAGCTAACATTTTTTATGACATTTGCTTTCTTTAACGTTGAACCAATTGAGTTGAGTTTGTACAATTGTCGATACTTATATTGAAAATGTTCATTCCTGGAAAAAGAGACTAGATGTTATCAAAATAAAACAATAGGATAATCGTTTTCTTTATTGTTGAACCAATGTGTGTTGAGTTTGTACATTGTGTTCAATTGTCCGTGCTTATATTGAATATGTTTATTCCTAGAAAAAGACAATAGGTTTTAAATAATAAATTGAATAGGCAAAAATAGTTAGCATTTGTAAAAACAGAAAGTACATTTTACAAGTAGATCACATCAGACCAGGCATGTATTAAACAAAGAGGCACTGTACTGTCACTGATCACCAACATGAATCAATCACAGCCCTGATTAAATGACTGACCTGCTTCTGTAGTGTCTCGGTCTCAGCCAGCACCGTGTCGTGGCCCTTGTGCTCGTCCGTCAGACACAGGTAACAGATGCACTGCTTGTCTGTGCGGCAGTACACCTCCAGCAGCTTGTCGTGGCGGCTACAGATCGTCTCCTGGAGCTTTTTGGAGGCCGAAACCAGCTTGTGTTTCTTGAAAGCAGCGGAGTCGTAGTGGGGCTGCAGGTGGAGGTCGCAATAAGAGGCCAAACACACCAGACAGGACTTCACCGCTTTGTTTTTCCTGCCTGTACACACGTCGCACTCCACATCGTCCGCCTCAGCGAAACTATGATTTACAAATGTCGTCGTGTTGGTGGTGTCTTGTAGCCCAGTCTTTTTGAATTTCTCCACCACGTCGGCCAACATGGTGTTCCTGGCGAGCACCGGCCTCGGGTTGAAGTTGTGTCTGCATTGAGGGCAGACGAAGACCCCCAAGAAGTCGTCCTGGTCCCAGTAGTTCTTGATACAGACGGAGCAGTAGCTGTGTCCGCAGGGGATGGTCACCGGGTCCCGCAACACGTCCAGGCAGATCGAGCAGTTAAACTGATCCTTATCCAGCACCACCCCGGCCTGAGCCATCGTCGAAAAACGCTGAAGTTGGAGTAGAAAATGACCGAAAAACCAGGAATCTGACAGACAGCTGCTGCTTTGTTTACAGGAAGTGAAAGAGGGACGGGGCGTGGCCAGATACACGTCACCGGAAATGGCAGCTGGGAATTTAATATTTAAAAAACAAGAAATGTGCTCATTTTCGACATGAGTTTCTTAAAGGTTTTTGGTTCATTTTTACTTCTTCTATCAATATTTATTAAAGTAAAAAAACGTATTGATTAAAAAACACGTAATTTTCAAAATAATGTAGCCTGACCGTTTTTATTTTTGTATTAACATGGCCGACACAACTTTCCAATTCTCTTTTATTTCGCTAATTATTTGTCAAACATTTTTGAAAGCTGCAGTGAAGCCAGAATATGAGCTATTCTACATAATACTAGGAACTTAATCTAAAATATTGTGAAGTGAATTTCAAGTACTGAGAACGCGGAAGTACCGTTTGTTTTCATAATACTTGGCTAGTTTCTTCCCAGCAGGGTGTATACATGGATAAATATACCAAACCAATACATAAATGTAGTAAAAATATGTAAGTACAGGTCT